TAAAGAGGGTTGCCTGGGTGGCTCAGTTGGTTAAGCATCTGCCTTTGGCTCCCAGTCATGAGCCGGATCAAGCTCCAGGACAGGCTGCATGCTCATCAGGGGGCCTGCTTCTCCCTCTCCCTCTGCCTGCCGCTCCCCCTGCTTGTACTCTCTCGCTCGCGCTCTGTCAAATAAATAAATAAAATCTAAAAAAAAAAAAAAATCTAGTAAAGAAATGCTTTTCCCCATTTATGTCAGCAGAATTAACCAGGCATCTACTATATGGCAGTTCTGCTCACACGGAGAATGTGGAGCAGCACTACTACCCTAACAGAGTGTGTATACTACAAAATCATTTCCTAAAACCATCTATAAAATGTCCCCCACCCAAAAAATACATATGTCCTTGTCTTAACCCTCAGAATCTGTGAACTCCTATGACAAAAGGGGATATGCAGATGTGATCCTGAGATGGGGAGATTATCCTGGATTATGGGGCGCGGGCAATGTAATTGACAAGGGTCCTTCAAAACGGAAAGAGTCAGAGTAAGAGAAAGATGTGAGGACAGAAAGCAGAAATTAAAGTGAATGCTGGCTTTGAAGATGGAGGAAGGACCCAAGAGCTAAGAAATGCAGGTGTCTTCTAGAAGCTGAAGTAGACAAGGAAATGGGATTCTCCCCTAGAGCTTCCAGAAGGGAACACAGCCTTGTCAATACCTTTATTTTAAACGATTGAGACTTATTTTAGACTTCTGACCTCCAGAACTATACGACAATTTGTGTTATTTTAAGCCACTAAGTTTGTGATCTATATAGATATATATTCGATGTCTATGTATTAAAAATTGTATGAAACAAGACAAAACCAGAGGGGGAGACAAACCATAAGAGACTCTTAATCATAGGAAACAAACTGAGTGTTGCTAGAGGGAAGGGGGGTAGAGGGATGGGGTAACTGGGTGATGGACATTGGGGAGGGTATATGTTGTAATGAGCACTGGGTATTATATAAGACTGATGAATCACAGACCTGTACCCTGGAAATAAATAATACATTGTATGTTAATTAACTGAATTTAAATTAAAAAAAAGACTGACATGATCAAAATTGTTTATAACAATTGGAAATAGAGTACAGAATATTTTAGGGCATCTTATTTCTCAACTATTCTGCCAACACCCAGTGATGTGCAATGATTAATTTTGAGATAGATTTTTAGTAAACATTTCATTTTAATTAAAAAAATTATATGTATTCGATTTTTCAGCTTAAAACCTTCCAAAAAACATTCCAGGCCCAAATGACTTCACTGGAAAATCTACCAAACACATAAGTAAAATTTTCATGCCAAGTCTACACAAATTCTCACACAGACAGGAGGAACACTCCCAACTTATTTTATGAGGCTAGTATTACTCTGATACCAAAACTAGACAAAAATATTTCAAGAAAAGAAAGCTACAGGCCAGTATGCCCCATCAACACAGAAAAAGTTCTCAAAAATATAGTAACAAAACAAATCCAGCAATATTTTAAAATGATAATACATCATGGCAAAGCGGAATTGATCCTGAGAACTCAAGATTGCTTAACATTGGAAAATCAATTGATATAATTCACCTTATCAATAGAAAAAAGAAGAAAACTCACCTCCTTCCATAGACACACCAAATCTACAACCATATATGGAATAATTTCCTCTAAAAAAAAAAAAAAAGCCAAAGGGGCGCCTGGGTGGCTCAGTCTGTTGAGCATCCGACTCTTGATTTTGGCTCAGATCATGAGCTCAGGGTCGTGAGATTGAGCCCCGAGTTAGGCTACAAGCTCAGCATGGAGTCTATTCAAGATTCTCTCTCCTCTCTCCCTCTCCCTCTGTCCCTCCTCCTGTTCATGCTCTCTTTCTCTAAAACAAAAACAAAAAACTAGCTGAGTGACTGCTATGCATTGGGCAAACAAGAAAAAACCCACCTGGGAATGGGCAGGAGAGACCGGCACAATCTCCCCATAAACCACACCCCTGGAAGGAGAAGCTACAACCCACAGCTGCAAGGGAACTCACAACCCTGAGCCTCCCCCTGGGAAGCACAGGGTTTGAACCCCACAGTTAGCACTCCAACTTTTAAGCCCTGCACCTGAGAGATGAGCCCCCAAAACATCTAGCTGTGAAAGCCAACAGGGCTCGCATCCACAGGACCCACAAGGCTCTGGCGAACCGAGACACAGTTCTTACAGGGCTCATGCGGGCTCACCCACTCCGGGAGCTAGCACAGAGGCAGCGAACCAAAAAGCACCGAGACTTTCTGTGAAACAGGCCGATTTTGCTTATCTTAAAAGCATCAGCACGGAGGGGCAGGCATCTAATTTAACGCATATCTAAGGAAATCATCTCCTAAAAGGGAGGTGTGCAAGGCACCACTTTTGCGCTCTCCCTCTGCCTCACTCCAGGTCCCCAGTAACTCCCAGAAAGGCACATGTCCACTCCTGGGAAGTCCCGGTGTGTGCGTCTGCCACCCAGGGGACACCACTAGATCACCCGGCTCTGGTGGCTAGCAGGGCTGACGCTTGTAGGTCCCAAAGGACTGTAAGCAACAGAGAAGGAGTTCTTAACTGCGCACCACCCCCAGGGGACAGTAGAGAGGCGACAGACAGGGGAGCCTCACCTGTGAGAGGCCTAGTAGGTCTCATCACAGCTGCAGCCCGAGGGGCAGGCTTGCAATTAAACACACACCCTAAGGGCTGACTATAATCTTCTCCAAAGCACTGGGTATCATAGAAGACTGATGAATCACAGACCTGTACCCCTGAAACAAATAATACATTAGGTTAATTAATTGAATTTAAATAAAATTAAAAAAAAAACCCTCTCCAAAGCACTCAGAGGACTGGCACTGTCTTCTCACTCTCTCCCCGTGTGATCAGGATCTCCGGTGCCCCCGTTTTCAAGGCTGCCACCCAGGAGACACCCTTTGATCACCTGGCTCTGGCGGCCAGCAGGGCTCAGGGTCGTGGGAAGGACGGGTCTGGATCAAAGGAAGAGATGGTGCGGGCTGGCTACCACACCCAAGCACAGGGAGGGCAGACTGAAACCCACCCTCAATCCTTTTGTGAAAGAGGCCTATTTGCTTGTCTTAGAGCTTCAGCCTAAGGGGCAGGCTTCTGGTTTAGCAGCCCCCAGGCCTACTGAGGTGCTCTCGGGTGACAGAGGCCACAATGGGCACTCTCTCTGTGCCTCCCACCACCTGGGTCTGGCTCACTGGTGCTCCTGGGTGGGAGCTTGTGCACTCGTCTGATTGTTACAGCTGCCACCAGGAGATACCTCTTGATCACCTGGCTCTGGTGGCCAGTGTGGCTTGTGCTCACAGGGCCTGAAGGGCTGTTACAAATGGAGAAATAGTTTCCACCAGCTACCCGCCCCGGGGCATAGCACAGAGCTAGTAGAGCAAAACATGTGCCCAGTCTTTCTGCGAAAAGAGGCCTATTAGCTAATTTTTATCGTTGTGGCCTATGGGGTAGCTTCTAATCAAATAGACACCCAGAGGCTGACTACAATCCTCTCCACCAATCAGGCAGACTGGCAGGTGCCATCCTCATTCCCTCCCTCTGCCCCACTCCAGGTTAACGCTCCAGATAGCCTGGCTCTGGAGGCCAGAAAGACTTTGTTCACCAGTTCAATGGGAGAGTACCAAACTAAGAAACAGTTCCTAACTGGCCATCACCCTAGGGCTCAGCGCAAAGAGCAAAGAGGCAAACAGAGATGCCCATCTCTCTGTCTTCCCCTGACAAAGGTATTTTTGCATACCTTAAAAGCTGCTGAGAGTCTGGATTCCAATCAGCCTCAATTTAGGTAATGACTGAGATCCCCCATTCTAGGACACTAATAGGTCTTGGCACACCTTCAACTCCTGGGAGCCACTAAGAACAAAAGTAGGCTGCTTGGACAATCACAAAGGTTTAAGAGACAACCCATGTTCATTGCAGCATTATTTACAAATAGCCAAGACATGGAAGCAACCTAATTGTCCATCAGTGGATGAATGGATAAAGAAAATGTGATACGTAACAGATTATTTAACCATAGAAAGGAAGGAAATCTTGTCATTTGTGACATGGGTGAAACTTGAGGACATTATGCTAAGTGAAGTAAGTCACAGAAAAGATACTCTATGAGCTCACATGTGGAATCCAAAAAAACAACATCAACAAATCAAAGCTATAGAAAAAGAGATCAGATTTGTGGTCACCAGAGGTGGGCAATGGGGAATGGGGTAATTGGATGAAAGTGGTCAAAAGGTACAAACTTCCAGTTTTGAGATAAATTAAGTACTGGGGATGTAATGTACAATGTGATGACTATGGTTCACACTGCTACACAGTATATTTGAAAGACAGATCCTAAGAGTTCTCATCAAGGAAAAAAAAATTTTTTTTAATTTTTATGAGATGACAGATGTTAACCAAATGTATTATGGTAATCATTTTGCAATTTATATAAATCAATTCATTGAGCTGTATACTTTAAACTTACACAGTGATATATATATATATATATAGCTTGAAAAAAGGTATCATTGTTAATGGTATTGTGCTCAGTGAAATAAGACAGAGAAAGACAAATACCATCTGATTTCACTCATATGTGGAATCTAAAGAACAAATGAATGAACAAACAGCACCTGTGTGTGAGATAAGCAGAGGTAGAGCGTATCTTGCCGCCCTCTGTCTTTGGAGCACTGTTTGAACGAACAAACAGCATCAGACCTATAAATACGGAGAACAAAGTGATGGTTAAGGGAAGTGGGAGATGCAGACTCCCAGTTACGGAATGACTAGGTCACAGGAATAAAAGCAGCAGCCTAAGGACTACGGTCAATGATACTGGAACAGTGTCACATGGTGACAGATGGTGGCCATCCTGCGGAGAGCACAGCACAGAGAACCTGAAACTAAAGGAACCTTGTATCAACCATAGTCAAATAAAAATAATTTTTAAAAAGTTTTTCTGAACACACACCCACACGAGTCAGGGGGAAGGAAATGTTTATTTCTCATGAATCTTTTAATGCAACCACCGTAATTTTTCAGGTTTAGTTTAGTAGCAAACTTGATTAATAACACTTCCAGGAGTTCCATCATTTTAAGGCTAAGGTTCCGATTAAGGAAATACAGTTATCAATTTAATATAAATGAAGTTTTTTAAAAAGGCTAAAAGCAGTCAGATCTTTTAAAAGAAAATCTAAATGACCCAGACTTTAGACTTTAGTAATGTAAGTATGCTTCAGTACTACAAAAGACAAAGAGAAAGAGCTTTACTGAACATCAGCAAGAAGCACCGCTATTTTTCTTCTGCAACATGTATGTTTTGGTCATTAGCACGCTAGTATGAACAAGGCAATGCGTCAGGCACGGGCATACAAGCAAGCACAGTGAGAGGCTTAGGAAGGTCGCCGGCGTCACGGCGGCTGTGGCCAGCATGGCGCAGGATCTCTCTCCAGCTGGTACCTCAGTCGTTCTCTCCTCCACAGAGCAGCAAGAGGGCTTTCTTATAGTCCCCAGACGTATCACCCTGAAACCCGAATGTACTCCGTTACCCTCCATGAGTCACAGAAGCTGCAGAAAATCAAAAAACTAAGTGTCTGGCAACAAGTTTTGTTCATGTGACTTTGCTCCCAAGTGGATAATCTCTGTGTATGTGACTTTCACATCAGGAATGTTATACAAGGAGTTTCCTACCAATGTAACATGTGTTTAACTTTCTAATTTTACCCCTTAAAGGCACAGCTCTGAGACAATGAAGTATGTTCTTCCCTCTGGTAATGCAGAGAACAAGGAAGCTTTTACAATGACATTCAAACCGAGCTTTCTAAACCTTTAAGTTACTATCACATACTATGTGTCTGGCTAAGGGAGGCAATCCTGGGACTGTGTGGCTCTTGTGTTTTTGCTTCAAAGACAGAGGGGCAGGATATGCTTTACCTCTGCTTATCTCACACACAGATATGTATGATAAATTAATGTTTCAAGCAAAGAGTGCATGTGAGAAGTCTCTAGTGCCCTTCAACCCAGCCACACCTACACACAAAGTTCAAAGCTTGCTTAGTTGAGATCCTGCTTTGCATATGGCCCACTTTCCCTTTTATCAAAAGAAAGAGGAGAGAGAAAAGAAAGGGAAAAAAAGAAAGAAAGAAAAGAAAGTCAAAAGGCCTTAAGCCAAATTTAAATATAGGCCAGTCTCCCTAGCTTTTTAAAAAAAACAAAAATGATAGTAATACCTAAACTCTTTACTTATTTCTGATATGACCTGGCTGGTTCTTTCCTGAACTACGAACTAATACCAGAGACAAGGTGATAACAGACAATAAAGAAAGATCGAAGTGAAAGGAAGGAGGCACTGATAAGGACACCTGGAACTGATAAAAGAGAGAAAGAACAAACACATTATCTTCAGGGGTGGGGGCTGGGTTTGATGAGTCATCTGTCACCACTACTAAATGATGTTCCTAAGCTCCCCAAGAGCCTCAGCCTCACCAAGAGTCCATCTTTCACTTGGGAGCCATCATCTGTACTTTAAGGAAATATTGTAAGCCGAGCTTTATAAGTCACGGCTCTAATCACGCCACTAAAATTTGAAACTTTATACAACAAGTGGGTTCTCCCATCTCTTGTCTTACATGCTATCTATTGGTCTGCTCTGGATTTCTGAACATAATTTAAAGAAAGGTTCTACTACCTTAATCATGGAATAAAGAGAGGTGGCGAAATTCTTCCTGAACTCCTTCCTAATGTTAAACAAATCAATCTCGCTCCTGGACACCACGATTCTGATGAGGGTATGATCATCCGTCCCCGCTCCCTATAAGAAAGAAAAAAAGGGAGGCACACTGTTTCAAAATGTCAAACAGAGCATCAAACTTCCCTGAGTTAAGATGAATTGATAAAGTAAAACAATTTGGTAGAATTGAACTGCATGTTTTAAGGAGAATTAAAAAAAAAAAAACCAAAGTCTATCATTTAAATCATAATAATACAAAGGGAAAGATAGCTAGAAAGATAAATTAATTAGATGGAAGATTCAAGATATACACTTACCTTCATAGCATAGTAGAGGGTTTCTGCAAGGTAGGCAGGTATACTTCGAATAGATTTCACTAAGAAAATAAATAATATGATGGTCAGATGCTATACTGATAAGAAAAAATTAGTGATTAAAAATCAAAACTTGCTTCATGCTTATTGCTCTACTTATTTACAAGCATAAAAATAACCTACGCTAAAAAACTGCTCATTTGCAGGCTGATCTGATCTCCTTATTCACCAAGTATTTTCTTAGAAACTGGGATGGAATTTCCTTAAAGTTCTGAGTTCTGCAGAGAAAGTTGTGTAGAACAGGACGTGTGAGGTTTTCAACACCCCTCTGTTCTAAGCACCTTTCTGCTATCAGAGTTTGGGCAGCCTGGGCTGTTACACCACAACCTTCTTCACCCTCAGGAAAGGATACAAACATCCTGGAAGTTTCTGATCCAACATATTCAAGCAAATAACACAAGGTACCCACTCCATCTAATCTTTGACAAATCTTGGGACTATTTTTCTGTAATCTTACCCTAGGTATTCTCCCCAGATGCCTTACTACCCATGATTTACATAGAGCAGCACGAGACTTACCCAATTCAGGAGAGACACCAGATAAACTGGTTAACAGAAAAGAGTATCTTCCCTGAACATGTATGTATCTACTCTGTGTTAGGGCTGCTCAGACCTCAGTCAGCTCAGCTTCAGAAACTATCCCTATAAAAATTCCTTAATATACAGAAATAACAATTCATTAATTGGGGGGTGAAGTTATTCTCTCTCTTCCAGTGCTTAAACGCCATTATTTTAAGTGTATTCTAATTATGAAGGGGTTGTGTGAAAGTTTTCTATTAAAATTCATTAAGTGTGGAACTCAAATCAAAGGCTACTATTAGTGCCGGTTCATGCACAGCTTTAGCTTATTCTCCAGAGGACAGTACAAAAACTCGAGCTCAATGCCAAATACTCAGAACAAACAGACGTTCACTCCAAACCCATATGAAAACTAGGGTCCCTGGGAACTCACAGACTAGACTCTCCCTGGATTTGGACAGTATATAATACTACCATAAACTGCACAAACTCAGTTCTCTAATTTTTCCAGATCATTCTGAATATTTAGCTAAAACAAATTTCCAAAGTAATCTGAAAACAACCATCACCACATCTTCCATCATACAAAAGACACTTTTTCTAGCTCAGATGCCAATTTCTCAGTCTGCCTCAAAGCTGTGAGGACAGTATTCAAAGGGATACTACAATTCTACCCAGTATCAGAAACAATATTCACAAGCCTCTGAGATAATGCCCACACTTCAGATTCATAACAAAATAATATTTTGGGGGCACCTGGGTGGCTCAGTCATTAAGCGTCTGCCTTTGGCTCAGGTCATGGTCCCAGAGTCCTGGGATCGAGCCCCACATCAGGCTCCCTGCTCTGCAGGAAGCCTGCTTCTCCCTCTCCCACTCCCCCTGCTTGTGTTCCCTCTCTCGCCATGTCTCTCTCTGTCAAATAAATAAATAAAATCTTTAAAAAAATAAATAAAATAATAATATTTTTAATAAAGCTTCAAAATGATTTTTATAAACAGTTGCTTTAGTATTTCCATAGGATTAAATGAACTAACCAGATAATCATGTATTTCCAATATCAAAACAGACTTTGATTTGGAAATGCGGGAGTTCGCTTCACTCAAAAATCATAATAAGCTCTTCATAAAGAGAGAAGTGGTTATTTTCAGATACAGCTTCAACTGAATGAAACACTTTAGCTCTTAACACCATTAATATTATATACATTGTAAAACCACCTACCAACAGCAAGGAGTAGTTGCTCCAAATTACCAGAAGTCTCTCGGTCAATGGTTTCCTCAATTTGAAATCCTGATATAGTCATGTATTTATCAAACACTATAAAAAAGGAAAATGATTTCTCAATCCTGTAAGGATTATTCTGTACAGAAAGAAGATACTCTAACCAGGTATTGTCCCACTGAATACAAATCTCCCCTTTTTCCTTGCCGACAGAACCCTGACTTTGTCACAGAGCTTCAATATACCCAAGCCCTAAATAATGGATTATAAAGGTTCTTTGTTCACTGAGTTCCCAGCCTCTACTTACTAGTTATAACCAATGCGACCCAAAGGTAAATCTACTAGAGAGGATTCTGAGTAATCTTTCCTTATCAAGAGTGATAAACAGATATGATTAGTTTACCCCTTTCTTTTCTTCTTGCTGTTAATGTTGATAAATTTGGGGCTACAGTAGCCCTCCTGTGACAATCAGGTACAGGGCACGAGAAAGAAAACCCCAAAACACCAAGGACAGTGAAGTAGAAAAACAGAGAGCCCACCCAGGTCCTGCCAAATCAGCCATGTGTTTAAGGCCCCAATTAGTAGGGTTTCGTGTCACCTGAGCTCTTTCCCACCTGATACCACAAGAACTGATGAATACCTAGAGAAGAGATCGTGGGTGCCACTATTTAGGACGAAATGCTTGAAGTGAGCCACAGCTCAGCGGTTAGTGACTATGAGAGTAACAATCCAGAGGCCTAGCTCCCTCGTCACCCTGATAGCAAAGGGGGGACTAAGTATCTCTAGTTCTGTAAAACTAAAACAGCAGCAAAGAGAATGATGAGATTTTTCAAGGTTACCAACAGGAAGAAATACAAAAACCAATTCACTCAGGAAGCACCTATTATAAAGCACATATTTTGGCACACTGGCTTCTGTACTTTCAAAATTAACCAAAGTACCTGTACCGTACACATTCTTTTCACTCACCCCTTCTCAAATGAGACACACTTCGTGTCCCGAAGATGGTGATAAACTTTTCTTCATCTGTCCCCCATTTCAGTTCTCCAGCCTGAAACAAAGCCTGTGAAAATTTCAACCTCAATTAGTAAGCCGTTTCTCCATCTCATTTCCAGGTTCTGAATGACACTGGTGTTTCACTCCCTGTACATTAATTAGCCTAATTCATCATCTTCTACTTTTCAATTCTAATGTTTCCAAAACTCAGTGAGGTGAGTCTGGAGCTACATTGGAGCTTGCCACTGAACTGTGCCACAGAAGATTAATGAGTAAGCAATAAATCACAGCAACAGGGCAAGATTAAGTGTTCCCAAAATGTCTATGGTACTTCCAGGCTTTCGGGGGCAATGGTGTGGGTGGTAGAAATTTCTGATTACCTCACTGTTGACACATCCACTTACAGACTGGAAAAGAATTTAACTAGGAGCTTAACTATGTTTTCTGTTTTGTTTACTCGGCAGTTGTTCAGCAACACATGATAAAAAATAAACTCCATATTTTCTCTTTTCAGCTGCAGTTTAACCAAAACTAGCTACAAAGAGTTTTCACATTTCTAAAAGATCACAACGAATTTTTAAAAGGTTGTGGGTATAGCACAATGCCTGGCATATAGTAGGCAACTAATATATACTTGTTGAATAGTTTGAGTGTCCATATTTACTTTTTTTACATGGAAAATATATGCTTTTTAGTGTTCATATAATTGCTGAAAAAATAAAATTATATACAAACACCATCATTAAACCTGAGTCCACTTATTGAGATGTGGATAATTTATTAAAACCCAGTGAATCAACCTTTAAAATGTCTATACTATCCTTTTGTTCATTTCTAGTTAAGTACACCTATTAAACCAAGACAAATGCAATTTGCTGAGCCTGCTACTTGGACTGGCCTTTATGCTCACAAGCGGCAAACCAAATAAGGACAGAAGGTGATGTGATCATAGCACGTGTTTGGATGTAGAAATTTTGGTCATAGTGTGTTTAAGAATATAGATTTTGGTGATATATATCTGTTTTTTGTTGTATTTCCAGGGAATTTTGAAAAAACGTGTCATATCCTTACAATCAGTTTTGAAATCAATTTAATGATAAAAATAAATAATATCAATCCTGGTTATGTGAGAATGTTCTTCAAAACTGAAAAGAGAGTTACTATGAAAGGCATGGCAAGTATCTCAACTTTAGAACTATATCATGGTATTATAGACCTGTCTTAAAATAACTTTTTAAATCTAATAACAAAAATAACATGTGTTCACTGAAAAATTTTGTATGAGATAAAACATGAATAAGAAAAAAACTACCATGAAGGCCAATATCCCAAAGATATTGGTTACTACCTCTAATATGTTTTCTACACATAGATAAGATATACACACACATTAACGCCTAAAAGAGAGAAAGGGTGCATCCCCTACTATACAAGCATTCCTGAAGCACTCCTTTCTTAACAACTATTCTATATTTCTAGAAATTTCCTCTAGTAGGTATAGCAGTTAAGCCTGTTATATGGAATAATTTGTGAAATGGCTATTTTAAACTATAATCTCTTCATTTTCTCGAAAGAATTATGTTTGAGATCAATATCTACTCTAAAACTATTAAGTAAATCATATGCAGTAATGATAACCTTCATGCGGAACAATTATTTAAAAGTTTTATTTTGTCTTGTTTTAATGTAAGAGTGCTTTCTTCTAAATGAGGATGCTGAACATCCACGGAGCAGCTTCGGATGAAGGCCCCTCACACCTCCTCACCCTCCCCCCTTCCCTCAGGGGGGGATTTACAGTTGAACACAGTTTGATAACCTCTGGTTCAGTGCAAAGTGCAGAGGTTTTGGAGTCAAAAAGACCTGGGCCTCATCCTTATCTGTGAGATCTTAGATGAGTTAATCTCTTGAGTCTCAGTGTCTTCACCTAGAATAGGATTAATATTTCTACAGAGTCATTAATGGAGATTATGTAACTTTATAATGAATGCATCAAAGAGTGTCAGGTAATCAATAGCAGGTACTCAGTAAACATTGATTCCCTACCTCTTCCCTTTTCTTCCCCCTCCTTCAGGTTTATCTCCAAGATCAGGAAAGGAGGATTTAGAGGGGGAGGAGGTAAAATCAGTTTAACACATTAAAAATATAAGAAAGTAAAAAAAATAAAAAATAAAAAACAAAAAAAACCCCACTATAAATAAATAAATAAAAATAAAAATGTAAGAAAGTAAAGTGGATTATCTACAAAATGTTGAATTCCTGGGTGAATGACTCACTGTGGCTTATCAAATCCCTGAAATAAAAGGAATCCTCTTAGTGCCAGGTATCAGCAGAGAAAAAAATTCAAAAGCTTATAAAAGGGCCCTTTGTCTCAGCTTACTCTCAATTAAGAAAAATTCCCATTAGTGACAACAGTCCAGCTGCCCCTGCTACCAGAAAGAAATGGGTGTGTTCTTTTTCATAACACCAAAAGGAAAATTATTTTTAACAAGCTGAATTCATTAGTAATAATACATTTTTTTCAAAGATTTATTTATTTATTTGAGAGAGTGTTCGAGCGCGCATGTGAGTGTGAAGTGGGGGAGGGGCGGGCAGAGAGGGAAAAGGAGAGAAGCAGACTCCCTGCTGAGAACAGAGTCCCAGGCCCTGAGGCGGCCCATCTCAGGACTCTGAGATCAAGACCTGAGCAGAAATCAAGAGTTGGATGCCCAACCAACTGAGCCACCCAGGTGCCCCAATAATAGTTTTTAAAGAATCAAAGACTAATAGCCAGTGCAGCATGTTCTTTGTTGTTCCTGATCACCGAAAGGGTAAAGAAAACCTGAATTCTATTCAAGGGATTTTTTTTTTAAAGATTTTATTTATTTGAGAGAGCTGAGAGAGAGAGAGAGAGAGAGCACAGGAGCCAGAGGAGGGGCAGAGGAAGAGGAAGAAGCAGGCTCCCTGAGACCCTGAGGTCATGACCTGAGCCAAGCAGATGCATAACCGACTGAGCCACCCACATGCGCCACTATTCAAGGGATATTTTAAAGTAACTTCATAAGACAGTTTTCAGATGTATAAAGTTTCCCCTTCACGGTCCTGAATGGTCATATGCTCTGCACAACAGGTAGGTGACACCTATACAGCCCTGGTACTCAAAGTGTGGTCCCAGGACCCCAGAGGCATCACCTGAGAGCTCGTTAGAAATACAGAATCCCAGGCTCCACCCGGACCTACTGAGTCAGAACCTGCAGTTCAAGGAGATGCCCAGGTGATTCACAAACACTTAAAAGTCTGAGAAGCACTGCTATACACCGAGTGCTCTGAGGAGAGAAATCAATGAAAATAAGGGGAAAATGCCCTGTTTCCACTCCCTGGCCTCACATTGCAGCAATCCTCTCATTGCACCACCAGTCATGCTGGGAAATCAGCCCACTGCCCACTAATGTAGGCCTCACTGCCGTCATCTGAGACTACTAGAGTTGGCTTCTTCCACCGTGACCACCAAAACACATCTAGACTACTCTTGAAGAGTCCAGGGGTGAGAATCACACCGTTTCCTATGAAGCCCACAAATAATTAATGCTTGGAAAGCAGTAACGTAGTCTCCAACAGTTGGGAGTAGTTTTGAAGGGCTGATCTACCACTTTCTCAAGGAGGCAAATTTCTTCCTCCAAGAAGGCAGAGTTAAGCTGGATTTGTGCTTCCAATCTGTATTTAATAAGCCTTTTATATGGTATAGGCGATGGGGGGAGAGGAACTAGCAGGCAAGAACACAGACTGTTGTCTAGTTGAAAGAGAAAGGGCTTTGGGGTTAGACAGGCCCAGGTATAAATCCCAGCCCCACTACTGGTCAGTGGGGGCCATGGGTTTGATTCTCAAATCCCTAAGCCTCAGTTTCTTTATCTATAAAAGAGAAATTATTCCCCTGTACTTCAGAGGTATATACTAATCCATTCACCAGTTATATACTGAGTGCCTACTGTATGCTAGATCCAAAGGATACAAACTGAACGGACAGCTCGGAGTGCCCTGGGCAGGCAGTCAAGTAAATAGCTTCAATATAAGGCAGCTGGACTGCCCCTGTAAGGGGCACCTGACATACACTTGGCGGGGGAGGGGGGGGAGAGGAGGGATCAGGCAGGGATACCTGATGAACAACTAACCTGAGGACTGACTCCCGAAGAGGAAGTAGTCAGGTGAATGGGTGGAGGAAGGGGCAGGTGGAGACAGAGCAAGAGAGGCTGGAGGCAAAAGAAAGCAAGGGACAGATAACAAAGAGGCTTATAAATCACATTTAGGACCTTGAACTTTATTCTGAGGATAATGGGATCCACTGAAGTTTTAAGGTTTTATCTAGGGACGTGACACAAGAGGTTTGCATTTTATGGAGGATAGTGAGGGAAGCATCAAATACTGCATAGACAGTCCTCAGTACACATCCATTTGCTCTCCTTCTGTCTCCAGCAAGGCAAAGAGATCTACCCACCCAAAAGAATAATAATGCTCTTTCCCATTAGCAAATTCAGATTACACATCCAATAGTTGTTTCATAGAGAAGAGTCAACTGGAGGAGTGAAGATGGTTCTTCCTTTTTCCATGGTGTATGACTAACAATCAGAATTATATATTACTTGGGGCACCTGGGTGGCTCAGTGGGTTAAGCATCTGCCTTCAGCTCAGGTGTGATCCCAGGGTCCTGGGATCGAGTCCTGAGTCAGGCTCCCTGCTCTGTGGGGAGCCTGCTTCTGCCTCTGCCTGTCTCTCATGAATAAATAAATAAAATCTTTTTTTAAATATTAAAAAAAAGAATTGTTTATTACTTGAAACATGTGACCAGAGAAACAGGACTACGGTATTTGATTCTATGAATGCAAAGAATTCCTTTATTACCAATTTCCAGTTTTAAAGTCTCATGTTTCAAATTTCCTAATATTTATTTCCCACATTTGACTACTTATGTTTTTAAGTTTTTTAAACATATTTTAATTCCAGTATAGTTAACATACAATGTTATATTAGTTTCAGGCGTACAATACAGTGATTCAACAACTCTATACATTACTCCGTGCTCATCATAAGTGTATTCTTTAATCCCCATCACCTATTTCACCCACTCCCCTGCCCACTTTCCCTCTGGTAACCATCAGTTTGTTCTCTATAGTTAAGATTTGATTACTTGCTAACTATACTATTACTTGAAACTATACTAGGATTTAAAAGCCATTTAAGTACAGAATTTCATTTGGGAGTCATTTAAAAGCAGCTGACAAGAGAACAATCCTATTTAGAATTCTATCGAAAGAAAGGTGGAGGAATTCCCAAATACTATGGTAACTGATAATCTACTATGTATTAAAACACCATTTATCACTAAAATACCTCATTCTTTTCTCTTTATCCTCTCCTGCCAAGACACCTACTGCCTCACTAGCAGTGGAATCAATAATACCTGTGGTTTTTGGTAAAATTACCCATTTTGTGAATTTCCATGATCACCAAAAAATATATATATATCTAGGCAAAATTCACTATTTATATGTAACTCATTTTATTTCATTTCCCTTTTGGGACAAAATATTTAGCTGGCCAGGTCAAAATGAGAAAAAATATACTTACGAGTCTTATGATTTGTAAAGGGCCCATAAATAACATTATTTTTAGATGCTATCACAATCTATATTACGATTTTCCATTATCATGGATTCTTTTTTTCATTCAAGTGTCATAATAAAGTCACCACATATCACATCTCACCTGAGCATCTTGTTCAACTTGTGCTTCATCAATTCCAGCATCAGGGTCTCTATTAGCCTACAAGAAATAATGTCACATTATTGAATTACATGAGCATTTTTATTCAAAAGGAAAATTAGTTCCACCTGATGGTTGTGCACATAAAGCTCTTTCTCTTAGGAATAATACAATTTTAAGATAGCAATTCTACAATATTTCACATCATCACACAGCACTGTCCAAAACCAATCTGACCCTTTTGATTTTAAATCTTATGAATGAAAGAGAATAGTGATATCTTAAATTAAATAAAGCAAAAAAATAAAAAATAAAAAAAATAAAAAAACCGTTAAGTTAGCTAGCTATTGAGAGTTTAGGTCAGATATTCTGAAAAACAAACAAACACAGGCAACATACAACCACAATCAGGCAAGTATGAGAAATGATTAAAGAATTTTAAATGACCTTACTTAACTAAATCCAGACAAGTCCAGTTTCAGATTTTTTAATCAAACTCTAAACAGTCTCTACCCAATACCTGAAGGAGAACCACCAACATCCTCTGGTAGTACCCTGATGTATCTCCCACCACGTCATCTTCCAGGCTTGAGCCATATTCTGCAACAGAATAATTTCATACTTATTTATAGCTTCTTTCAACTAAAAAAGGTAGCCTGCCCCATTAATCAAATGGAAGAGACATAAAGGAAGGAATATTTGATTAGTATAAATGTTCTCTACTCCATCTCTGAGTGCTCTAAAGACTAAAGGCAAATGCTTAAATGAGTGACTGGTAGAAAACAAAGTCTCTCAAAAGCACTCAATTCAAGCCTAAATCCAGACTCAGCCATTTAGAAACACTCTCAACCAGTGCAGTTAATACTCTGTAGACATGTGATGGGTACAGGAAAGCCTCTAACATACAATTGATCATAATTTTAAACTCTAATGCTTTCTTCCAAAAGTTTTACATGATTAGTTTCCAAAGGTCTTCTAACCTCTAAAATTCTGAGTTTTTCTTTCTTTAGGCATGGCCATTCTTTCCCCTAATAAGATATGTTTTCCTCTGCAGCAAATAAAGTTAACTCTGAGAGACAGCAGTGATGTTTTAAAATATGCCCCTTCCTAGCTCTATTTCCAGTTATTCCACATAATGCCACAGGAAAGGGGAGAACTGGAATCTACAAAAGTCTACGCACCCTCTTCACTAACTCAAACAGCTACTATTGAAGGCAGCTCCAAGACATTTAAGTATTTAATCATTATTTGAAAGCAGACAAACTTTAAAAGCCTGACACTTCTGTATTAAAAAGTCTAGAAGACCACAGGGGACAGGAGGGAAAACCAAATGGAGAGAAATCAGAGAGGGAGATGAACCATGAGAGACTCTGGACTCTGGGAAACAAACTGAGGGTTACAGAGGGGAAGGGGGTAGAGGGAGGGGGTAACCGGGTGATGGGTATTAAGGAGGGCACGTATGGTGATGAGCACTGGGTGTCATACACAACTAATGAATTGTTGAACGCTACATCAAAAACTTATGAAATACTATATGCTGGCTAACTGAACATAATATAATATTAAATAAATAAATATGTCTAGAAGAGCTCCATCTTTATTTCAACTAGTTACCCAAATACAAAATGTTGAAGGACTCTTCTATCCCTTCGCGTACTACAAAACCTGTAAGTGATTAATGATCAAATCCTTTCACATAGTTCCCCTCCCTCTAATCTATCCCCATCATACCTCCCACCAACCTATGGCCCACCTAGGTTGGGCCATAACTGCCTAGCTTACCTCCCCACACGTATAGCTACCTAATCAGCCTCTTGATTCAAATCTCCTTCCTTCAGTACTCCATCGCCCATTACACCACCCCTGAATCAAGTGCAAAGCTCTCACCCAGTCATGTAAAACCATCGAAACACAGCCTGCATTTACTCTGTTTATCTCCCGCACGAGACATGCACATACCCTCCAAGACAGCCAGCTTCTTTCCACTCCTTCCATATACTATTCTCACTCTAATCTCCATGGCATTGCAGACAGGGATGAACACACCATAAATGTTTTCTTCACCTCCCCAAAACCTACCTCATCTTGAAACCTTGTCTGACTGCACCACAGAGCCTCTTCTAACATCAAAAGCCTTGATGACCTCTCCGCTCTAAATGGATTCTTGCATGAAACATTTTTTGGTATTTGACTTTAGTTTGGGTTTTGCTATCCTTTAACAGCTGCAGTCAGTTTCTAAATCATGTCACCCCTCAAGAGACTGCACACTCCTTGAGGACGGGAGCTATGGTATGTGCACCTTTTGTGTCATTCGTGACAGCCAGTGCACCACCAGACACACAGCCAGGGCGTAGTACATGACAGCACCCCGTTTGTCATCCAGCACACAAAGGCTCTCTCACAAACGTCAACACGCCCAGAGACAGATCTTTGAATATTACATCAAATAAAACTCGTAGGTGATCTTCTGCAGTTACATGTATCCCCTCTGCCTTAGTGGTTGGGACCTATCCAACTTTAACAAGAGAAGCAGGAAAGAAAGATCCAGCACTTCAGAAAGTTAATCATTTAAATTTCACACTGTTCTGACTTGCTGAGTTACAATGTCATTTCTAAAATAAATAAACTAATGCCAAGACAAGGACACATTTTCCTAGCTGAAGGCACTCAGCTTGTTGGTCCGCTGACTGAGCTGATAATCTCAGGAGTCTGCTCAGTCAGGTAGGGGAAAGAGTCTGGTACAGAAAATGTGATGAGCAAAGAACAGTCTCCCTTTACTTTTTATTTCATTTTCTTGGTTCCATTCACAGAACATACTTCAGATTGAAATGACAGATTTTTTTTTCACAAAAAAAAGGCACACCAAAGAGAAAAATTAAAATGCAGAATATTCAAGCACTGCCATTGACTAAAATGACACACATTTACTCAAACATTTTCATCAACTCTGGTCTGGACAAGGTTTCTTTTCTCAAATTCCAAAAGGGTCTTTTAGATAACGCTTAATTTCTACTAATATTAAAACTGATTTTTTTTTTTTCAGGAAGAAAAACCACCTACATCTTGAAGTTCATGGAAAAGAAAAACAACCTGTATGTCCCTACACGAGCTGCAAATTCTACATAAAAGTAAACTCCCATCTTCATCAGAAGCTTCTCTTAAGTACCAAAATAGATACAGGTCTAGGAAAAAGCAGTCTTTTCCTTACTGAAGGAAAACAAGCTTGAATTGTTGCTTATTCATGCATTCGCTCACTCGTTTATTCAGGAATCACATATGGCCTGCCTCCTGTAACCGTGAAGAACTGCACTCACTTTAGAAAAGTGAAAAAGTGACAGTGAGATGAAGGGGAAATAAAATTCCAAACGTTTACCTTCTTCATAAACTTGTTTTATGGCTCTCAGTTCTTCAGGTGTCCTTGAAGCAATAATTTCCGTCAGTACTTTTTCATCTGTCCCAGCTCCCTGTTTGGAAATTTATTTTTAATAGAGAACATATGCCAATAAGATGAAAGAGTTATTTTCCTAGAACAGATGTTACCCAAATTGCATAATTATATAAATATAATTATATAAACTATCCAACTTAATATTCCCTTCTTTATATACAAGTTCTATTAGTTACAAAATTAAAAAATTTCCAATTAATTTTCTCTCCAAAGACAATTTTATCCTTTTTTGTCTAATGAAAAACGTTTATTGCATGTATGTGATATATGACCCAAAAGAGATTATATAAATTTTTAATTTTATTCTAAATAGTTTCATTCTAAAGAGTTTAAAAGTAAAACATGTTAATGAAACATGAAATTAAGAAGACTGAAAGAGTAAAAATGAAAACTTTACATAAATTTACGTGGAGGAGCACTGATACTTAAACAATTGTATCTCAAAACATAAAGCCCCTGCCCTCAAATTAAGTTTTCCATGGAATTTCCAATTCTGTACCAAAGGAAATAATAAATGTAGCATTGCTTAGTAATTAGGAACTGGATCAGTACAAAGGAATTGAAACATGCTTTCTGGATTTTTGGAACGTACAGTTGACCTTTGAACAACGTGGAAGTTAGGGGCAATGACTACCTCCCAAGTCGAAAATCTGTGTATAATTTTTGACTCTCCAAAAACTTAACTACTAAGAGCCTACTACTGTGCGTCGGAAGCCTTACTGATAACATGAACAGTCGATTAAGACATGTTGTGTATGTTATATGCATTACAAATTGTATCCCTACAATAAAGTAAGATAGAAAAAAGAAATGATATTTAGAAAATAATAAGGAAAAGACAGGAACTATACTGTACTGTAAAAAATCAGTATATGCATAGTTCAAACCTGTGTCATTCAAAGGTTAACTATAATTTTAGTTGGTTTTCTTTCTTCTGATGATAAAAGTCTATCTACACTGCTAAATTAGAAGCTACAAGCAATGATAGAGATGAACTTAGTTTTTAAAAATAGCATTATTCTCTTTATATCTCTGTTTCTTTTTCAAAAATCAAGCACAAGGGGCGCCTGGGTGGCTCAGTTGGTTAAGCAACTGCCTTCAGCTCAGGTCATGATCCCAGAGTCCTGGGATCGAGCCCCACATTGGGCTCCCTGCTTAGCGAGGAGTCTGCTTCTCCCTCTGACCCTACCCCCTCTTGTGGTCTCTCTCTCACTCTCTCTCTCAAATAAAATAAAATAAAATAAAATCTTAAAAAAAAAATCAAGCACTGAAAAACCTATGTTTATGCTCTGGCAGAATTTCAATTACTACTGACATTTCAGAAGTACTCCACAAAAAGGCTGTTTTTCAATAATCTGAGATTTTGTTTACTCCAAAAGAAGCACTGTGGGCAAATGAAGAGAATAAGCACAGAAAAGCTCCTAACTTGATAAGGCCTCTTCTCCCTTCACTCCATAAGTAAGAATCCCTGTTGTTAAATCTCCTTTTGCCCATTCAAAATCTACCACTGAGTGGCTCAGTCATTAAGCGTCTGCCTTCGGCTCAGTTCATGATCCCAGGGCCCTGGGATGGAGCCCCGCATCGCATCGGGCTCCCTGCTCGGCAGGAAGCCTGCTTCTCCCTCTCCCACTCCCCCTGCTTGTGTTCCCTCTCTCGCCGCGTCTCTCACTGCCGGATAAATAAAATCTTTAAAAAAAAAAAAAAATCTACCACTGATTGTACTACTTCCTGTCCCGTAAGTCTAAACAAATGTTTCAAAGTAGACATATTTATACAATATTCCAAACACCAGTCAAGGGAATATACATTTAGTTATTTGCTACAATGAAATTATAGTAAGATTATCAGCTACTATTTTGGTATTATATATACTATTTTAGTATTTACAAGTATAGGAAAGAAGGAAAGGGTATTAGAAAATCCTTCCTATCTGAAAATTCTCTCTGTGGCGTTATTTTTTTAACCTAAAATGATTAACAATATTATTTCATAATCGGGCAACTTTCTATTTTAAAAGATAAAATACTTAACCTGTAACATTTTTTAACACATCTCAAAATTAGAAAACAGGCATGAAGATAAAATATAAAGAGCTGCAAAAAATATTAAAATTTTAAAAAGCCACTATTACTGAGTTAACTATACAAAAAGATTAAATGACACACTTGTAATTTTCTCCCTCCTTTTCTTCTTATTGCCTCCTATGCAATTTTGTCCTCCAAGAAACCCTCACAGAAATAATTCAAAAATTTTAACTGTAATTACCAACACAAAATAATAGTATTCATGACAAGAATGTTCCTCTCACTAATTCTTTTACCTTAAGAGCATGCTTCAGTTCATAGGCATCATAAAGCCGAGAAGGTTTCATCAGAGCCATGATTAATTTTTCAAATTTTCCAGTCAGTTCTGATTTCAGGTCATCCAGCAGGTCCTAAATTACAGAAAATACAAATCTGTGAACGAGGCAGAAATTTTAAGGAGATTCTTCTTAAATATAAAGCATAGCTCTTTGCACGAATGAATTATTTATGTTGCCATCTCCAAGCAGAAAAAAGGCATGTGAGTTAAACAAAACCCCAGTTTTGAATAATGTACTTTTGACATCTGACCTAAAGCTTAAGCTAAAACAAAGTCACTTATGTGTCAAAGTATTTGTTTTTAAGAAATGTTTTTCTGAATTTCAACAGTTAAAAAATGAATACAAAATACGTTAAAGATAGTTTAAAAGTACTGTTTTGAGAAACATGTGTATCTTTAAAAACAATTTTCCCAAAATAAAATCATAAATGCATTTTTACAAATGACAAAATCTAGCCTATCATACCCAAATGAAATAATTTTTTCTTTCAATATTTATTAATATTCCAATACATAATGAATTATGTTTATAATTATGCTCCTGACTACCGAGAGACAGCTGCTACTACGGAGAAAATATAATTATGAAAAGAAAAGCAGTATTCCCCACCCATTCCAGTTTCAGCACATAGGAAACCAGAAACTATGTTCAGAATACTCTGTTTGCTTTGCATTTGTTTCTTAATTGATGAAAACAAATTTTCAGAATAACAAAATTGTTTTTCATATACACAGTAATTCATTTAAATAACAAATTTAATTTTTATTTGATCTGTTAATCAAATAAGAGCATTTAAATCAATGAACTAAAAACACATTTATTAAAATACCACTCCATGAGGAACCAAGAATGAAACTATGTCACAATAAAACAGACTATCATACAGGTTTGCATCTAGAAAATAGCTCACAAAACAATCCTGAGAAGGAAGCAGGCAAGAAGAGAGGCAGCTATCACCATGGGATCTTTAGGCACTTTGGTAGCATCAAGCAAGAGAAAACAATTATGGGGATAAGTTGGGTGAACATTGTAAACCAATAGCTGATAATTAAGAAACTTAAAAAAATGGGGCGCCTGGGTGGCTCAGTCCTTAGGCGTTTGCCTTCGGCTCAGGTCGTGATCCCAGGGTCCTGGGATTGAGCCCTGCGCCGGACTCCCTGCTCCGCAGGAAGCCTGCTTCTCCCTCTCCCTCTCCCACTCCCCCTGCTTGTGTTCCCTCTCTCGCTGTGTCCCTCTCTGTCAAATAAGTAAATAAAATCTTAAAAAAAAAAAAACTTAAAAAGAGAAAAGGAATAGTAAAATCAGAATAACAGAATAAATAATGTTTACAAAGGAATATTCGTAGAGTTCAAACTAGCCTTAAACCATATCGGGGCTCTCACATTGTAATTTAGGATGAAGTGCAGTCTTACCCTGCCAAATAGAGTTTTAAAAGCCACGGCGATTTCCTGGCGCTGAGCATTACTTCGGGATGTCAACAGAGTCAAGATGCTCTCCTCATCAGTGCCTGCAATTTACGTTCGAAGAATTACATCTTGGCTCCCCCGTGCCCACTGTTTCAATAACCTTTGGGACCAGCACCCCAGTCACTTTGATTCCTTACCTCATAAAATAGACTTATTAAATAATTCATTAAGCTACAAAATGCACAACATATAACATGTTATATTTTCAGTATAAACTATCCCCTATTCCTGATGTATTGTGAAGTAGGTAGAAAAATATTCCCGACTTTTTAAAAACTGAGTGCACCTAGTTTTTCTTGCAACAGATAGTTACTCAAACAATGGATATTCACAAGGCAGGTGTTGAGTGTTACAGGAGATTAAGAGAGGAGAAAGATACAGACCCTGGTTTCAAATTACAATTTAGGGTGAAAAATACAAATACACAAGGACAACCTTGAGCTAAGGCAGAATGTTACAAGTGCTTCAGGAGAGGTCCAGGTGTTGAGTGGGGTTTCAGAGGAGGTTCTCTTAGCTGATAGGTGGAAGGACTTTTGGGAAAACTTCATGAAGAAGGTGACACCCAAAAGAGTCCTGAAGGATGGAAGGGTTTTATCAGGCATGATACAGGGAAAGAGGACAGGCCTTTAAAATGAGGGAAAGGCTCAGCAGTAGGAAAATACAGGGTTTTCACGAATAGCAGATAACCCAGCATGGTTGGGTCAGAGAACACATGGAATAGTAACATGAGCTGAGTCCGACAATGTGGGCTGGGATACTAAGGAAGGGCGTGCACGGCCAGAAAGCTAACGCTAATCTTGCTACAATGGAAATCTCACAAGATGTTCAGAATGGAGTGAGAAGGGGTCAGAGCCAAGTCTGAAGAAGGTGGATCCCCACTCATGGACACTAGTATAGAAGGAGCCTGAGGACAGAAGATCAGTTCTGTGTAGAAATCCTCCAGATGAGAGGTTTATACATGGCTAGAAAGGAGACTGGGGAAAGAGAAAATAGTTGAATGCAAGAGACCGCAGAACTAGACACCTGATCGGGCAAAGGGGACAAAGACCTGCACAGCTGATCACTCTCAGGAATGTCTGCTTATCTACTCGGTCAGCTACCTCCCAGGTAAAGCTGAAAAGCTAAAAAACAAAAAGGCCAAATTTAACTTCCTGATCAGTTGCAAAGATTGAATATGTCAGTCATAATTATTTTGTTACCTTCATGTATCTTCCCTCCTTTTATACATTTCAGTCATAATTATTTTGTTACCTTCATGTATCTTCCCTCTTTTTATACATTTCAGATAAAATACTCTAAAATCAGTGACTTTTTGTTTGGGAAAACAAATGTCACGTGTTTGTTTGTTTGTTTGTTTAAGAACAAAAGGAAGGTTGAATTTACCCAGGCCTTTCATGGCCTTCCGAAGAGTTTCTGCATCAGCCCGCTCATCAAATCCAGGGAAGGCAACCACGGTGCCTTTAAGAGCCTGGGACAGGAAACACAGTGATATTATTCATGGCATGACCAGTACAGACAAAGCAAATAATAACAAAGCAAGCCATTGCTCTATATCATGTTCAGTCTTTAAATAAATTTACCATTTGATAACTCCATTTGAAATGGGAAGAGGACCACTTACAGTTTGGATTAGCAGAACCAATTCAGTGCATGAGCTATCCTGGTCCACCTGCAATACCATTAATGGGAAGGTCTGGCTTCCAAGGCCTTCGTCCCTTGGGCATTGCCCCCAGTGTCCATGCCCCGGTGACACCCCCAGATTCACAGAGGGCACTTCCTTGCAGGATTCCTTCCATTTAAGTCTCTTGCCACTTTGATCGAGGGCATGCTGAACCTGCATTGAAACTTGATGCCCTGCCCTAGGCACTCAACTCCAAGTGATATTTTTACTACATAACTTTTCATCTAGTCCTGTTTCTTTATATTTACTTAGGGATTTTATGATAACCTGGTAAAGCCTGAAAAAATATTTGGTAATTCATATGCCAAGTCTTTGAATTTAGAACTTTATAAAAGTAGGGACACCTGGGTGGCTCCATTAAGCATCTGCCTTTCAGCTCAGGTCATGATCCCAGGGTCCTAGGATCCAGTGCCGTATCGGGGCGGGGGGGGGGGGTCCTTGCTCAGCAGGGAGCCTGCTTCTCCCTCTGCCTGCCCCTCCCCCTGCTTGTGCGCATGAGCTCTCTTTCTCTGACAAATAAATAAAATCTTTTTTAAAAAAAGAACTTTATAAAAGTATATTGGAAGACATTCTTCATAAGCTTTGCTGTTATGCTTATTTTATCATATATGCAGTGCTTTATTTATTTATTTATTTATTTATTTATCAGCGAGATTGAGAGCATGAGCAGGGGGAGTGGCAGGCAGATCAAGAAGCAGGCTCCCCGCTGAGCAAGGAGCCCAGTGTGGGACTTGATCCCAGGGTCCTGGGATCCCGACCTGGGTCAAAGGCAGACGCTTAACCAACTGAGCCACCCCGGCATCCCATGTAGTGGTTTTAATCATCGAAATATTTTAAGGCTTCCCCCTCAAAACCTGCAATATCATTAGTTCTTTAGAATCAGAAGGTTTTATGAATACTGAGTCCTAAATTTTTATCTTATGATAAAAGGAAGATCCCAGCATTAACTTTTACTAATAAATGGTTTTGAAGTCCTTCAAAACTCCTGTTAAGGTTCTATCTAAAACTGAAGAGGGGCGCCTGGGTGACTCAGTTGGTTGAGCATCTGACTCTTGGTTTTGGCTCAGATCATGATCTCAGGGTCATGAGATGGAACCCTAGGGCAGGCTCTGCACTCAGAGAGAAGTCGGCCTGAGATTCTCTCTCCCTCTCACTCTGCTCCTCCCACTGCTCACGTGGATTCACACTCACTCTCTCTCTCTAAAATAAATAAATAAATCTTTTTTTTTATTTAAAAAATAAATAAAACTGAGGGAAAAACAGCTACAAGAGGGGAAGGGCTGAGAATACTTGTGTTGGTTTATAATCATGTGTGTTTTATTAGGAATGCATGGAAGGACAATCACCTACAAGGAAAAAATTTCTGGCAATTTCATGTGGTTCAACATAATTAAAAGAAACAGTAAGTTGAGAGAGAAATTGATACGATTTAAGAAAACAGTCTTCCAAAATTGGCATGGATTAGGAATGTCCTATCTCTCAGGTCAATCTGCAGTTTCCCTCTGTTTAGTGGAACCACTTCAAATTGATTATGAAGACACCATCAATATGTCATCATAAAAAGTGAATAAATACCACAGGTTCTCTCAGTGTGAGAACCTAGGACTGACATGACAGATAACTTAGTTCTCTTGTCTGTTTTTTCATTCACTTAATAACCATTTTTTGAATGCTTTCCACATGCGACTATTGTACTACTCACTAGGAAAAAGTGATGGTCTCTAAAAGTCAAGAGAACATGATAGGCACATAAATAATCAAGTGCAGTAGAGTACACACATACAGGTTTCATCGGGGTACATATACACATAAAGGAGGGGCTGAGTTGGGAATAGTGGAAAGAGAAGATATCAGAAAAACTTCCCAAAAAATGTCTTGAAAGTTGCCTGTGATTTTCCAAGGCAGGTTCAAGAAAGTAGAGAAGTACAGGAAGGTATAATCCAGTGTGCATAAAAACATGAAAGAACTAAAAAATCTGGTGCTTTGGACAAAGGATTAAGAGTTTGAACAGATTGAAGCAAACAATAAGTATGCAGAGAAAAGAAATGGTGGTCATGGTGGGAAGTAAGGAGGAGCTGCAAGGCCATGCTAAGAAGTGCCAACTTCATCCTGTAGGCAAGGGGAAGTCATTAGGGGACATTTCAGTAGGGAAGAACAATGTCGACTGTGCCCAGTAATATTACTGGGGCAGCAGTGGAGACAACGGAATGGACTAGGCAAGAGTGGAGACAGGAAGGCTGTTGTAAAAACAACTAACCGAGGAAGAAGACAGGACCTGATCCAAGTCAGGAGCGGTGGTAATGGAAAGGAGAAGACAGAGAGGAACAGAACCAAGGCAGAAGGGAACCAATTAGGATGATTCCTTTTTTGGATGGGCAATAGGATTGCATTTCTCCCCAGTAGGTATACTGGAAGAGAAGCAGGCTTTGTCAGTTACCAGAGTACGTAAGTGGTCAGTGGAGCTGTGCGAGGAGGCTGTCACAAAAGGCAATGTTAGTGGGGTGGCAAGGAGAACCAGCAGAGAAGGGAAGGTCCCCTACAATCAGAATGGCAGCTAAGGGGCACCTGGGTGGCTCAGTCGGTTAAGCGTCCAACTCTTGATCTCAGCTCAGGTCTCAATCTCAGGGTCATGAGTTCAAGCCCCTGCACTGGGCACCTAATACTTGCTCAGTGTGTCAATGAGCCAAGCACAGTGTTCAGAGCTTCACATGGATCATCTCATTTTACAGGTGAAGAAACACATTGGCTTAAGAAATGTTTGGAGAATCATCCAAGGGACCGTCAAGCAAGTAGCAGAGCCAGTACCTGAAGACAGGCCATGGAACTGCAGGCTATTAATCATGATGGTGCATAGCCTCCCAAAAACAAAAAGGAAATCTCCAAAAAGGGTTGTGATGGCATGGAGAAGCCAAAGGGGAAAAAATGTTCCAGGAAGAAAAGAAGAAAAGGCAGTGTCCAGTATCAGAGAAGTCAAACAGGAGGTGAGAGTGAAAGGGTCCAGCGGACTTGATAACGAGGTCTTTGATGGTGGTAAAAAGCATGACTGGAGAACACCAAAAAAGTGAATTGTGAGGCAAAGCAGCTCCATGAACTCCGATTTTACAAATGATGTTTTTTTTTCTTTCAAAAACTCACTTTAAAAAAAAATACTTTATCCAGTTTATAGGCTATGGAGTTGCTAGTAGATCAGGAGGTTAAGAACAGAGGAGACAAGAGAGATTTGCCTTAAAAAGACATCTGACCGCTAAGACTGAAGGAAATGAGGTGAAAGATGGAAGGAAGTATCCTCAGAATCTCAGCGACTGACTATGAAGAAGAAATAACTGCCGATTGTATTTTTGAGAGCTTTCTAGAAATGGAAACACGTGCTACATTCCACACGATCCAAGTCACTGTCAAAGCTAGCCAAAGCCACGTAGTGGTAGTTAGGGACCAGAAGTGAATCACAGATGTGAGTCACAAGGGCAGAAACCTTGTTTGGATGTCCTGTCCAAACCCCATCCCAGTCCACACAAAATTGTCTGCACTGGGTAAATGTGACTTTCCATGACTCATGCTAGAGGGCTTCTCCTTTTTCCTATAGCCCCACTAGCCTCAAGTTAAACATTTATACCTTACCCAGGTTAATTCCAACTGTGAGTGGGTACTGCTTCCCTTCCCCCATCCCGAGTTCCTCGTCAGTTACCTTCACTCCCTGCCACCAAGGTCTTCTCAAGTGCATTAGCATATATTCTCAGACCATACATGGCCAAAACATGTAATTCACTCTTTTAACTCTCACCTTCAAAATTATCCACTCTCCTAGTTCTATAATTTTGTAGGCTTTTTTTGTTCCTTTATGCTAAATGAGAAAGTTCTTTACCGTCAAGGACTAGGTGTGCCAAAATAAAATGAACATAATTAAGCCAAAAAAAAAAAAAAAAACAAGTGAAGGGTTGCTTTTCTAGACAGAATTTAAAGAAACGGGAAAACAACAACAGAAACAACAACTTCAAATTTAAAGATGAGAAAACATTCACCTGTCTGGAACCTTTTAAACTGAAGCCTTCCTGAAGGCTCAGAAGAGAACGAAACCCTCTTTAAATCCGTCTTCCAGTTTAAGGAAATCAATACTTAATCAAACACCTACCCAGCATTCCTCATAATACTAATTAGGAAGCCAGACACCAGGAAGCAAACCACTACAGCTGAGCAACTGCTAAGCGGTCACAGGGTGATTTTTAAGTATGGTTCTTCTGAGGCTCAGGCTTGACAAAAATCCTCTGGAGGCTGCCCAGAAAGGTGGGGAACGGGGATGTCCAATGGCAGAACTCTGCCTTCACTCCCCAGCCAGAGCAGTTCAGGTCTTATCTGATGTACACAGGACAGGCCCCTTAATATTTCCTGTGATAATGCATCCTACTGAGGAGCAAAGAAAAAAAAATTAAAAGTCACTGTACCAAGAAAAATAAAATGAGCAAGAAAGGAGGGGAAAACCAGCATGATATGATTATGATCAAAGTTGCAAGGTAAAATAAATATCAGAAGAAAAAAAAAAAAAACCTAGAATCTCCAAGAGGACTGAGGGGTATAAACACAGACAACAGGGGGTGAGAAATAAGATCTCAAGCCCTAATTCTTACCCTTGCTCCAAATTTATCAAAAAAGGTGAAAGTTAAGTTCAAAGCCTTAAATTCAAATTGGTTTTTAACCGTTACCTTGACCCCTTTCTTAAAATCAAGTGTAAGAGGGGAAAAGTATCATTATAAATAATTTAAGTTCTACGCATAAAGGTAGAAAAGAAGTTT